GCTCATTAGTGTTCAAGGCCTCAAACCTGTTCCTGAGATGATTCTGAAATTCAGGTGGGATAGACTCAAAGTCATATTTTGGTTCCAATGGATTTGGTTTATCTTTCCTCAACTTCAGCTTGAACTTGCATATGAGTAGTAGTCTGTTCTTCAATCAGCTCCTGGCCTAGTTTTCACAGCTGATCTTGAGCTTCTCCAGGGGTTCTTTCCACAGATGTAATCGATCTGATTCCTAAGCATACCATCAGGTGAAATCCATGTATATAACCTGCGTTTATGTCCCTTAAAAAAAGTATTTGCTACAAATAAGTCATTGATTGTGCAAAACTCAATCATTCTCTCTCCAGCACCATTTCTGTCACTGAGTCCATGCTTTCCAACTAGCGAATCTTCTTCTCTGTTCCCAACTTTTGCATTCCAGTCACCCATTATTATCAATGCATCTTGATTGCATGTTTGATCTACCTCCGACTGTAAAAGATGGTAAAAATCTTCTATTTCCTTTTCTTTGGCTCTGGTTGTTGGTGCATATATCTGAATGATAGTGGTATTCACTGGACTTCCTTGCACGCATATGGATATTATCCTGTCACTCACAATATTGTACTTCAAGATGGATCTATAAATGACTCTCTTAACTATGAAAGCAACTCCATTTTTCCTCACCTTTTCACCTCCAGAGTAATATATCATATGGTCATCCGACTCAAAATGCCCCATGCCAGTCCATCTCACCTCAACAATGCCTAGTATGTCAATATTTATGCATTCCATTTCTTCCTTAATAATATCTAATTTTCCTACATTCATGGTTCTCACATTCTATGTCCCAATCTTTAGTGTCTGCTTACTGATTATAGTATCTCTTCCTGATTATAGATTATATTATTTGCATCAGAAATATAGGCTATAAATCCTAACTTGTGGTGGCCTAGTGTTAAGAAGCTGCACTGTCAACCTGAAGACACATGGTTTGAATCTACCAATTGCTCTGCAGGAGAAAGATGGGCAACCTTCTCCCATGTGATTTACTGCTTCTGAAAATCCTCCGGATAGTCAGCTGACTCAACAAAACATAACAACAACATGCTTGTGATTATAATCCCATTTAGAAATGGATTGTCTTTGATACGTGAGGCAAAATTAGTGTAATGTGTGCATTACATCATCCTCTTTGGGGATTTAAGAGATTAAACAAGCAAGAAAAAGAAACAGAGATGAAGGAAGAGAGATGTTAGACCTTGTGAAGGCTGTTCAAGAAAAACTCAGAAAAGTCAAGAACCTTCCTCCAGAGCTGTCAGAAGGAGAAATCCTCATCTGTTGCAGTAGCATCAGATAACTAAGATATAATACTTTAGTAATGAAAAGCTTCTACATTATAATAAATACATATTATTTATATCCATATTGTTATATTTGTGTATGTGTACCATCAAATCAGATTTGACTGGTACAGGAGGAGATTGTCCCTCCTTCTCCAGCAAAGCATCTGGTGGATTTGAACCGCTTACCCTTCAGACTGCAGTGCAGCTTCTTGCCACTAGGCCACAAGAGTAGCTATGAGTCACAAGCGACTCGACGGCACATAACAACAACAACATATTATTATATAATATATATTTATAATTAATATATATACATAGAGTTATATATTTTTCCATCAAGAGGTCAAAGAAGTTCAACATGTTAGAAACTCACCATTTTTCCTAATTATACGAGTCTGTTGTTTTCTTTGATCATCTGGAATACCAAAAATTTCTATCATCACTAGTGTGTCAGCTTTGTCAGGTGAGTTATCATTAAGAGGAAGCTGGATACCACTGATGAGCTGCACAAATAAATTTTAAATTATAAATTATTAACTATTTCAATTAAAAATATTCATTCAAAATAAGCTAACCAACATTAAGACCTGTATAAGGAGTGGTACAATATAGAGAAGGCAAAGTCTGATTTCTACTTGCTTCATAAAGAGGAACTGTCCCAATCAATAATGTCCATGATGCCATACACATAGTTACATAATCCGAGATGGCACCCCACATGCTCCTGCACCTATTGTTATCAATAATTGGGTATTGTGAATGGTAAGATTCACAGACTTTATTCACATTTATGGAATTTATTAGGGAAATAGATTGCAGTTTGGGGGAAGCAAAGAATATCTCACAATGTAAGTCCAGGTTTAGTCCAGGAGTCTCAAGCTAGATAAAAAAGGCACAGTTCTTGAAAAGCACCAGTTGTTTGTTTTGTGGAGTTTTTTAAAATTTATTTTAATGAACGTTTACTTTGGATTTCCATTCATTCATTTTTGCCCTTTTTCCCCCTGCACACTCTTCCCCCAATTCACTTTTCTTTTTGAAAAGTAAAAGAAAAAATATTATTTCATTGTTATCCAATCCCTCCCCCCAAGTCCACTCCACTATGTTAGGCTCCTGTCATAACAATATCATCTCATCATATATCCCTTTTTTTAACAGTTCTCTCCCTCATCTGTTTCAGTGCAGTATACATTATTAATCCCATCTTTCTCAGTCTCCTCCCAACCCCTATGTCAGTCCTCTTTTACAGAAGTGGCATTATGCTGTATTTTTATTTTTGTAACTGAGATATTTCACTCAGCATAATGTCCTCCAAGGTCACCCATTTTGTATGATATTTCATGAGTTCCTTGTTTTTCAATGCTGCATTGCATTTCATTGTGTAAATATACCAGAGTTTCTCTATCCATTTGTTTGTTGATAGGCACTTGGGTTGTTTGCAACTCTTTGCTATTGTGAACAAAGCCAAAATAAACATAGGTGTTCATGTATCTGTTTGGGTGGCAGTTATGGTTTCTTTAGGGTATATTCCCAGTAGTGGAATTGCTGGATAAAAAAAAAAAGTATCAGTTCTTCATCAATCCTCATTATTCAGTGTCCAGCTCTCACAAGCATATGAGGCAAGTGGAAACACCATGGCTTGAGTCAAGTATATCTTAGTCCTCAACTTCCCAACATTTTAAAATGGTCTTTAATCAGCAGATGTGCCAACATTATATATTGTTTAATTTCTTTAGTGCAGCTCCCATTATTTTTCACTGTGCAATCAAATAAAACTAAATCTTTACAATTTCAAACTTTTTACCAATTATCATAATGTTCTTTATTGTTATGAAGATTTAAAAAATGTTATTATGTGTTGAAGTGTAATCCATTGTGACATGGTAAAACTGTTGTTTTACAACAAGTGTTGTCTAGTCAACTGGTAGTGACTCTATGAACAACAACAGATCAGAACCTTATCCTATTGCTGCAGTCCCACTGTGTCTATTCATCTCTTGTTGGTCTTTCTCTATTCACTGACTCTCCACTATTCCATAAGTGATACCTTTTTCCAAGGAATGGAGCCTCTTGACATCATGCCCAAGTATGTGAGACAAAATTTTACTATCTTTTCCTCCAAGGAGCACTCTGGATACACACTCTGCAACATATACCAGTTTGTTCTTGTGGCGGTTTGTGGCTATTCAGTGCTCTTTTCCAGCTCCACAACTCAAAGGCATTAATTCTTCTTTATCTTTACTAATTGTTCAACTTTCAGATGCGTAACAAGTGATTGAAAAAATCATGACCTGTCAGGCACACTTCTCTTTTTAAATTGATCTCATTACCACAGTGCTTTGGAGAGGTCCTTAGCAGTAGACTTTTCCAATTCAACCATATCTTTTGATTTCTTGACTGCTGCTACCACGGGTGTTAATTGTTGTGCTAATCAATCTTTTCTCCAGGCCCAGTGGTGAATATTTTTGTTTTCTTGGTGTTAAGATGTATTTCTTTTTGAAAGCTGCAGTCTTTGATCATGAAGAGCAAGCACTTCATGTCTTCTTTGCTTTCAATCAGTAAGGTTATGCCATCTGCATAATGCAGACTGTTTAAGAGTATTCCTCCAAACCTGATGCCACACTCTTTTTAATAAAGTCTAGATTCTGGAATAATTTGTTCAGCACGGAGATCAAATGGGCAGGAAAAAAAGAAACAGCACTAATGTACACATTTCTTGACTTCGTAATTATTGATGCAATCTTCCCTTGCTCTATTCAGACAACAGCTTCTTGATTTAGCTATAAGTTTCACAATAATGAGCATGATTAAGTGTTCTGGGATTCTCAATCTTCTTAATATTAGTTTTTATTTGTTTGGATCCACACAGTCAAGTGTTTTTTCTGCATAGAGGTATTTTCTGCTTTACACAAATGATATGACATCAGCCGTGATATCTCTGGTGCCACTACAACATCTAATCCCATTTGAACTGGCAGGTCTCTGTCAATTTATTGGCCTAGCTGTTTTTGGATGATCTTCACCAATATTTTTCTTGTAGTTGTTGATTGACGTTGCATTGAGCACGACTCATAGCAACTATATGAACATAAGACCTAATGTCTTTCCTTAACTGTTGTCATTTGTCCATATTCATAGAGTATTCAGAGTCATGTGGTTTAGGAAGTAGATGCTACTCCTGCTTCCAAATCTGTTTTACAACTGGGAGCTTCACCACACACCATCCCCATAGGGAAACCATTCTGGTATTTGATACCCCAATGCCAAAAAGTTCAGCATCACAGCAAACTCAGGTTACTTCATACAACACATTGACAGAGTGATGTACAAAGCAGAAGAATGTAACAGCACTAGTGTCATTTAGATACAATATCACTAGTCTCATTTAGCAGTGGGTGTCATCAAGTTGAATACGACTGAGAGTAAGCTTTGCACAAAAGACTTGAACTTTGTTCTATAACATTCTTTATGTACATTTATAGAGTTTACAGAGTTTATATGTGATATTAATGATATTTTTTGATAATTTCCATATTCTTTTGAGTCAATTTTCTTGGGAATGGGAAGAAATATCAATCTCTTCCAGTCAGTTGACCAGGTAACTCTCTTTCAAATTTCCTGGCACAGACTGGTAAGCATGTCCAGGGCTTTTATCTGTTAATTGAAACATGTCAGTGACATCACACTGATTCCTGGAAGCTTATGTAAATAAATATTAAGTTGTTTTTGTTGTTGGTTGCCATCCAGTTAACTGAATTTTCTAGTGACACTGTAACATATTAAGTTGTTTTTGTTGTTGGTTGCCATCCAGTTAACTGCATTTTCTAGTGACACTGTAACATATTAAGTTGTTTTTGTTGTTGGTTGCCATCCAGTTAACTGCATTTTCTAGTGACACTGTAACAACATATATGAGCCTTGGTCTATCCTTTGCCATTCTGGTTCTCACCACTTCTGCTATTCTGGAGTTGTTTGTAGCAGACACTGTGTTGTTAATCCACTTTATTAGGGGAATATTCACAGAGTTTTTGACCCTCCACCTTTCCCAGAATGACATATTTTTCTAAGGGTCAACCCTTCCTGAAATAAGATCAAAATTGTGAGATGAAATTTCACCATCTTGTCCTCTGAGGAGCACCCCTGTTACACTTTCTTCAAGAAAGACTTGCTTGTTCTTTTAGCAGTCGGTGGGATATTCTCCAGCATCACAATTCTTTTTCCGTCACACTTATTGCCTAGCTTTCAGATGCATAAGAATTAATTTAAAAGACCATGGATTATATAAAATATCCTTGCTTTTAGACACTTTGAAGAGGTCCTAGGCAGCAGATTCCCCAATCTTTTGATTTATTGACTGCTGTTACCGTGGGTGTTGATTAGGGGTCTATATAAAATTAAGTCATTCATAACTT